CAGAGAGAGATTGTGCTGAAACCAAAAGAGCTCTGGTTAATTTAAAATTGACGATCAATTAACACATATCCAAAAATAATGCTATAGAATTACCTGGGCTCTTTGTATCTATTTCTTGACTTGAGTGTTTCTTTAGATATTGCTACCTCAATGTTGGATATCCCGTCACATTTCTAACTTTTCCTGAACCAGTTCTGTTGCCTGAAAAGCAATAAGGATTATAAACACGTCGGCAGAAATTATTATCATCCTAAATGAAAAAAATACCCAAAAATATGAGCCATAGTAAATGACTTATTAAAGAATATACCAGCTGCAATAGCTTTGTCTTCAACTACAGTGCGCCTAATTCCTGTGTTCGGTTTACATAAGAAGTCATAGCCACACACTGGTATTGGGAGAATCATCGATAATAGCTTTGTTTCTGTCACTTTTTTCGTGAAGTTAACTCATGCTTTGTTCTCCGGCAATACATTTGCCATAGCACTAGTAGAACCATGTTTGCAGAGATCAATCACTTCTTGCTGCTTGAAGAAAGGATCTCCACTATCTTCTCCTGCACTTTCTGTGCCAATCTCGTGAATGCAATTTTTGCATCGCCACAACCTAAATTTGGGAACATCTAGAGGAGGAAGCTGCTCCTCAGAAGTAGTACTGCAGTCACTGCTTGATGCGAAAGGTGAACAAATTTTCCTGTCCCTTTTTCTTCATCTCAGCAACATATCCACTGTATGCAGAATAAGAATGTAGTCAAGAAGATATCCACCGAAAGAGATCAGACTATAGAAATCGTACTATAAGCCACAGAGAACATAGGAGTTGGCTAAAAAGACTTGGCAGCAATAAACTCATTGAAAGACGAAAATCCCAAGTGATTGTTTGGTTTTTACTCAATCTGAGCTTGTAAAGAGCTACCGCGCGAAGAAAAAGTTCAACATACACTACAGTTAATGTGACATGTGCCACTGCACGATTCATCCATCTTTAAATTTCTAACATATTAGTAAAACCAACTATAGATCTTCACAAAACTTTCCACACTATCCGATGTGTACGAACGAGTACACATTTTATCAACACGGATAGTAAGTGTATTTCATGAGCTTTTCCGTCACTTTTCTATGCAAAAGAAGACAAGGCAACTCATATGAATCCTGAGTATAGCATACTGTTCTTTGTTTACTGAACCAACATCTGCTATCAGACGCTTAGTCTATTCGTCTATACAATAACGGAGTAACCATAAGGTGACCATCATTATGCAACACAAAAGAATCGGCTTCTAAATCAAGTCAACAACGAAGATAGCATAACAGAAAGGTAAAAACAGAAACTTCATAAGCAAACATAACAAGACAAAACTGTACAGATTAGAGACTCACCGTATTGAAAAATGCTGGCAGTTCCCTTCCTCTTTCTTCGGCATAGGAATATCAAGGTCTATAGATATTGATTCAATTTGTATGACCGATCCGAGGATTTCGACACAGAAGTATTGATATCGCTTGCTTGAGAAGTTCCTTTCACTGCTATGATACTTTTCTCCATGTAAAAGGGAGAACAACTAAAAGCCTAAAAAAAGAAAAATTAGGTCAGATACTCAAAGAGAAAGTACTTCAAACAGTTATGATTATTCAGAAGAAGATATTTATCAGGTAGACAAAATGTATCTTGCCTTTTGCATCTGCAGTACTACTGAAATACATATGGGCCTTTATGTGTTTGTGTACACTTAAAAGATTGGAACTTTATCATCAAATCATGCTTAAGGTACTTAATTAAGGAGCATACATGAAACAACTCAAGCCAGATACCACAAAAATCTTAGTTCATAAAAAACCAACAGGCAGTGCCAGATAATAATAGTAAGAGTTTAACTATTATATCAGGTCACCAAAAGATAACTATACGTCACTCGATAAAAAAGAAGAAGTAGCAATATGGAAAATAAGGTAAGTTACCGACTACCATAGGTTAAAATACACCAATAGTATAAACATTATTTGTACTGTTAGTGTAATAAGTTAAACTGTAGCATAATTACCATGTCGAATATCCATGAACATGACTCAATTTAGGGAATAACACACTGCAATTTCTAATTGAACACATGCTAGAAACCCTAATCTAAAGGACAACAAAATTCAATCTTTTCCCATCAACTATTTTAAAATCAACATGCATTATATTATAAGAATACATATAACAAGGTCAATTATTTATGGTCATTCTAGGGTTTCTGCAAAATGCTAGAATTAATGATACTTCACTCCCCATTTATAAGACTTAGACTAAAAGCTAAAAAAGAGAAAAACTTTATCATCAGCTCCACAGTTCACATAAAATTATACCTAAATCTAACAAATTAATTAGGGTTTTGCTAATACCCAATTATCTCGATAATCTAAGCATAAGACTAAAAGCAAATCGAAAGCTACAACCATAATAAGCATAGTAAAAGAAGACGAGGAAAAATAAATAAACCAACCAAATAAACAAAAAGGGAAAAAAAGAACTAAAATACTTAAAACGTACGGGAATCATTTCATGTCCAAAGAATTAGCTAAAAAAATCGCGTAAAAAACAAAACCCAGATATCAAATCACCTTAAATCAAAAACCCAATAATCAGAAACTAAAGAAAATTTAAAAAACTTACCTTTCTCCTAAATCGAAAGCTCAGATCAGAAAAAACCCAGAACTATTTTTTTCCACGGATGATAATAAAGCGACTATCTTTATAAAGAAGAAGCTGAACTGAAGCCAATTGTACAATTTTCTTGAAATGATTTTTAGAAAAATGAGAAGAATTGAGAGTGCGAAATGAAAGCGAAACCCTTTTTAGGTTTATTTTTGCTTTGAGATGAAGCTGTAGAGAGAGAATAGGAAAGAAGAGTGAGTGTTGAGGTTTTTTTAAAGTTTTTAACTTTTTATCTAAATCTGATTCTTGAAATTTGCATGTGTAACAGACAAAGGAGAGTGAAAGAGACTGACCAATGGGAATTTGACAGCTATGCTAAATTTTTGAAACCCTAGTAAGAAAGAGTCTGACGCGTGTGGTATACGCGCCGGGAGTTAAGGTAGGGTTAGTGGGTGAGTGTCCTTGTCTGAGGACAGATGCCACGCACTTAGGAGTGATACGAGTGGTCCATGTTGACGCGGCCACGTTGGCGCGTGGTTACCGAGGAAGAACCCTAATGTTTTTTTCTTTTTTTGGGGGGGGGGGGGGGTGTGAGCTGGGGGTAAAAAAGGAGGGGGGGGGGGGGGGGGGGGGGGGGGGGGGGGGGGGAGGGGGGGGGAGGAATAATTTCCTTAAGGACACACTGTGTATTCAGTGACTCGATTTGTCCTACAACGTTTTTAAAAAAAAAATTGAAGTTCGAATAATATTTTCAGAATTTGTTTCTACTTTCTGTTTCCCTTTTACAGAAAGATTACTGTTTTATTTATTTACAGCAATACAGATTGATAACATATATGTCCCAAAATGCGCGGTATGTTTTCTTACTATAATTTTTTATCTAAATAAACCAAACAATTATGAATAAAAAGGGTTTCGCTTTCATTTCGCACTCTCAATTCTTCTCATTTTTCTAAAAATCATTTCAAGAAAATTGTACAATTGGCTTCAGTTCAGCTTCTTCTTTATAAAGATAGTCGCTTTATTATCATCCGTGGAAAAAAATAGTTCTGGGTTTTTTCTGATCTGAGCTTTCGATTTAGGAGAAAGGTAAGTTTTTTAAATTTTCTTTAGTTTCTGATTATTGGGTTTTTGATTTAAGGTGATTTGATATCTGGGTTTTGTTTTTTACGCGATTTTTTAGCTAATTCTTTGGACATGAAATGATTCCCGTACGTTTTAAGTATTTTAGTTCTTTTTTTCCCTTTTTGTTTATTTGGTTGGTTTATTTATTTTCCTCGTCTTCTTTTACTATGCTTATTATGGTTGTAGCTTTCGATTTGCTTTTAGTCTTATGCTTAGATTATCGAGATAATTGGGTATTAGCAAAACCCTAATTAATTTGTTAGATTTAGGTATAATTTTATGTGAACTGTGGAGCTGATGATAAAGTTTTTCTCTTTTTAGCTTTTTAGTCTAAGTCTATAAATGGGGAGTGAAGTATCATTAATTCTAGCATTTTGCAGAAACCCTAGAATGACCATAAATAATTGACCTTGTTATATGTATTCTTATAATATAATGCATGTTGATTTTAAAATAGTTGATGGGAAAAGATTGAATTTTGTTGTCCTTTAGATTAGGGTTTCTAGCATGTGTTCAATTAGAAATTGCAGTGTGTTATTCCCTAAATTGAGTCATGTCATGGATATTCGACATGGTAATTATGCTACAGTTTAACTTATATACACTAACAGTACAAATAATGTTTATACTATTGGTGTATTTTAACCTATGGTAGTCGGTAACTTACCTTATTTTCCATATTGCTACTTCTTCTTTTTTATCGAGTGACGTATAGTTATCTTTTGGTGACCTGATATAATAGTTAAACTCTTACTATTATTATCTGGCACTGCCTGTTGGTTTTTTATGAACTAAGATTTTTGTGGTATCTGGCTTGAGTTGTTTCATGTATGCTCCTTAATTAAGTACCTTAAGCATGATTTGATGATAAAGTTCCAATCTTTTAAGTGTACACAAACACATAAAGGCCCATATGTATTTCAGTAGTACTGCAGATGCAAAAGGCAAGATACATTTTGTCTACCTGATAAATATCTTCTTCTGAATAATCATAACTGTTTGAAGTACTTTCTCTTTGAGTATCTGACCTAATTTTTCTTTTTTTAGGCTTTTAGTTGTTCTCCCTTTTACATGGAGAAAAGTATCATAGCAGTGAAAGGAACTTCTCAAGCAAGCGATATCAATACTTCTGTGTCGAAATCCTCGGGATCGGTCATACAAATTGAATCAATATCTATAGACCTTGATATTCCTATGCCGAAGAAAGAGGAAGGGAACTGCCAGCATTTTTCAATACGGTGAGTCTCTAATCTGTACAGTTTGTCTTGTTATGTTTGCTTATGAAGTTTCTGTTTTACCTTTCTGTTATGCTATCTTCGTTGTTGACTTGATTTAGAAGCCGATTCTTTTGTGTTGCATAATGATGGTCACCTTATGGTTACTCCGTTATTGTATAGACGAATAGACTAAGCGTCTGATAGCAGATGTTGGTTCAGTAAACAAGAACAGTACTGCTATACTCAGGATTCATATGAGTTGCCTTGTCTTCTTTTGCATAGAAAAGTGACGGAAAAGCTCATGAAATACACTTACTATCCGTGGTTGATAAATGTGTACTCGTTCGTACACATCGGATAGTGTGGAAAGTTTTGTGAAGATCTATAGTTGGTTTTACTAATATGTTAGAAATTTAAAGATGGATGAATCGTGCAGTGGCACATGTCACATTAACTGTAGTGTATGTTGAACTTTTTCTTCGCGGGTAGCTCTTTCACAAGCTCAGGATTGAGTAAAACCAAACAATCACTTGGGATTTTGTCTTTCAATGAGTTTATGCTGCCAAGTCTTTTTAGCCAACTCCTATGTTCTCTGTGGCTTATAGTACGATTTCTATAGTCTGATCTCTTTCGGTGGATATCTTCTTGACTACATTTCTTATTCTGCATACAGTGGATATGTTGCTGAGATGAGAAAAAGGGACAGGAAAATTTGTTCACCTTTCGCATCAAGCAGTGACTGCAGTACTACTTCTGAGGAGCAGCTTCCTCCTCTAGATGTTCCCAAATTTAGGTGGTGGCGATGCAAAAATTGCATTCACGAGATTGGCACAGAAAGTGCAGGAGAAGATAGTGAGATCCTTTCTTCAAGCAGCAGAAGTAGATTGATCTCTGCAAACATGGCTTCTACTAGTGCTATGGCAAATGTATTGCCGGAGACAAAGCATGAGTTAACTTCACGAAAAAGTGACAGAAACAAAGCTATTATCGATGATTCTCCCAATACCAGTGGTGGCTATGACTTCTTATGTAAACCGAACACAGGAATTAGGCGCACTGTAGTTGAAGACAAAGCTATTGCAGCTGGTATATTCTTTAATAAGTCATTTACTATGGCTCATATTTTGGGTATTTTTTTTCATTTAGGATGATAATAATTTCTGCCGACGTGTTTATAATCCTTATTGCTTTTCAGGCAACAGAACTGGTTCAGGAAAAGTTAGAAATGTGACGGGATATCCAACTATTGAGGTAGCAATATCTAAAGAACACTCAAGTCAAGAAATAGATACAAAGAGCCCAGGTAATTCTATAGCATTATTTTTTGGATATGTGTTAATTGATCGTCAATTTTAAATTAACCAGAGCTCTTTTGGTTTCCAAAACAGCTGCTAATCTCTCAAACAACAGCATACGAGTTGCAATCTCTGACTCAACCCTGTCAGCGGGTAAAATTGTTTCTCATAGAAATCTCCACATAAGTGCGGATGATGTAAGTGCTGATATTAGTCCAGAGAAAGAAATGGATTCTCCAAATGATGGACTGAGCAAAGCCTCTATGGCTTTCAAGGGATATGATGTACCAGGTAGCAACGGTAAAGCTCTTGAAACTAGCAAGACGAAACTAAGTAGGCTACCTTCCCTTGAATTGAGAGATTATGATGAAACATCTTCAAGAAGTGACATAATTTTGGCTGAAAAAAGACAGTGTGATTTGTACAATCATATTCCAAACGATCTACCACGTCGAAAAACTCGAAAGGTGCGTCTGTTGACTGATATATTGGGTGGACAAGTCAATTTGGAGACTAGGCATGCCAAGGCAGAGCGTACACCATCGAGTACGACGCCCTCTGTGCCTTCTGAGCTAGATACAGTTGGTGCTCCTAAGGATAAGGGATCCTTTCAGAAGAAGAGGAAGTTGTCTCAAGAAGATGACAGCAATCTGTCGGAGATGAGCATACAATGTAACGTGGCTAAAAGGGTCAGGTCCTTTCATGAAATTGATGATTCACGTTCATATGAGAAGGAATCTGATGGAGAAGGTATACCGAGTGGCACCAAAAATCTGCGAATTAAGCATAGAAATGGTATAAATAAAAAGAAAAACAAGCAGCTTCGACCTGTCGATGGATATTCTCCTGAAATGCCCTGGCAGGATACAACCATGGAAGATTGTGGTTCAAAGGGATATGGTGCTGTGAATAGCTTCGTTCATTCTGCGCAAAGGGATGGGAAATTTGAACCTCATTTAAGGAGTAGTTATCAGTCATTGGTAGGAACAGACAGAGACTCTGATTTGTGTTGGAACAGTAATAAGTTTCCTGAAGTTGGACGTGTTCCGTCAACTCTTATGCATCCGGACAATAATTTCCCGGGGGAAAGTTCAACCAGGAGGAAAAATCTCATGCCTGTGACTACTGATATGGAAATGGTGACCTCTCAGCCAACGCATGAATTATCTGACAAAGTAAGGCTAGACCTGTCTTTGAACAGCTTCAATCATGCTGAGAATGATATTACCCAAAGCAGAAATATGACAAACTGGCCATTCATTCTGCAGAAGGGCAATAAGAGTAGTGATCCTCGAGGGAAAGATAATACTCTTGTCGAACAGTCCAATGTGCCTAAATCAGGTCAATCTTCAAGGAAAGGAGTGATATATGACCTCAACCAGGGAATTTCCCAGACATCATCAATGTGGCAAGAGATTCAAAACTCTCCAATTCTTCTTCAGAAGGGGAACCTTCATGTTCCCGATATAATGGTACTGGTTTATTTCTGTGACTTACTTGAGCCTCCCTTTTGTTTGCAATGGCTTTGTTTCCTCCCCCTCCCCTCCCCTCCATTATTTCCAAGGATCTATATCAAATGGAAAACATTGCTTTTCTTTGGTGGCTCAGGCTATAAAGTAAAGCTTACTTTTTGAATTTCTCGAGTATAGTTTTTCTTTACATGTGACTGCCTGCAGAGAAATTTGTCATTGCCTTCAAATTCAATGCTACTTCATTCAGATTTATATGATGGAAAAGCAAAAAATATTATTAATAAACTAGCAATGATGTCTTAAATAGACTTGATATCCATTTTGTAGAAAGACCAAGTCTTTTATTAGGCAAACGAAAAAAAGGAAAGATTTTTTCCTTCGTCTATTGCATATCAGATTGATTATTTTGATCTGCCAAATCGGATTGAGGGAGGTTGACAGGCTTCTGTCTCGAACTTGTTCTTGATATCTTAGAAGACTGCCAATTTGATGAAAGAACATCAAACGTCAAAATGTTAAGAAATGATATTCACTTTAGACAGCTACTTCTCGCTTTTCTTTTAATTTATTTTTATGTTCTTAAACTACTGAAGTGACTACCTGAATATCCTCTCTGGATATCCATAGACAAAATCAAAAAGAAAATATCATTATGTTTACGGGTATGGTTATGCTTAATACTTCTCTATAAGTGCGACTTCTTGTTCTATCTTTGTGGTGTTTCATGAATGTTGTAGAGTAAGTCAATGCAACTTATTAGCACAAACTTTAAGTTAAGTGCTTGTAGTCAGAGAAGTCACAGAGATTTGCCTTTGCAGGAAATCCCTCACCGGCATAACAAAGAAAATCTTAATGAATTCCTAGAGCGTTCAGATGTAATTAAGCATCAAAGAAATCAACACTCTGAGAAGGCTTTAGAACGAGGGTTGTCAGATGATATACCAATGGAAATTGTGGAGCTAATGGCGAAGAACCAGTACGAGAGGGGTCTTACTGAGACCAAAACCAAATGCATTATTGAAAGAACTGATGGTATCGCAAGGCCGCATACTGAGATACATGAGAGTGAAGCAATGACATGGTCACGTCCTGGTGTAATTAGTTTCCATCCAGCTAATGCGAAAACAAACACTGATGTTGGAGCAAGCAGAGGAAGCACCCTCCAATTCTCTCATGTTAAGAGGAACCACCTCGGGATGGCCCAGGTTGAAAGACTGCCGGTCAAACTGTTTGGTACTTTTCCACAAACTCAACAAGAATTATCTAGTGGAGGGCAAGGTTCTGATATGCCTGCCATGCATATCAGATCCGGTTTTCAGCGTGGTGAAGAAGCAAACCCTCTATGGTTTTCAACTGTGCAGAACACACCGTTAGGACATGGAATTGCACAGAAATCCATTGGTCAGCCAAATGACAAAATGATTCAGAAAGGGAGGACTATCAGCGACATAAAGAGTGGTGATGTGAGAATGCAGAATGAGCCTCATCTTCTTTTACCCAAATCAGGAGGCAATGCCGATTTGAACGTGAAAAGTATGGCGTCTTTAGATCCTTATAATAACGAGGCAATCCCAGCTATGCAGTTACTCAGCCTTATGGATCGAAGGATGCCACCATCAACTCCTCCTTTCAATCTGGATGCAAACAAGCTCCGGGAGAAACCTTTTTCTCCGTGCAGTTATCACCCGAGGTTTCATATGGATGGTAAGCAGAGTATTCTCAACGGGTCATATTTATCACATCATCAGTTGAAGGACTCTACCGGGGTATACGCTGGTGGTTATTACGCAGGTTAGAGCTCAAGATTATCTTCTTTTTTTTACTTTCTTAGAATATTTTCATCTTCATTTCCTGTACATTAATTGGTTCACCATCACTCCGTGTGTAAATGAAGCAAACTCTAATAAGCTGAGTTTACAGATCAAATATCTTTCAAGTCTCCAGGACAAGAGAAATCAAGAAAATCTCATGCACCTTCTCGTTGTGGTGGAAGCAAATCGGAGAGATTTGTGTCTTCAAATGGACTGCTAAGCATGACTCAACATTCTTATCCTGAGAAGGATGAGCAAAACAGAATCCTTGGCACATCAAGTTCTCGGGTGCTTCCGCTGCAGGATCATAATGCTTCAAAACTCTTTGACTTGGAGGGCAAGAGTAATGCCAGAGCTATATTGCCAGTCAACGGAAGTAACATTTGCAGCCTTAACCGAAACCCTGCTGAATTTAGCGTTCCAGAAGAAGGGAACCCCTTCACCAGGAGTGTAAAGGATCCAAGAATTGGGAAGAAGCGAAAGCAGCGGAGAATTACAAAGGAAAAAGAAGGGAGACTACCATCATTAGGCCGTGCATTGTGAATGCCACCAATTACCTATCTTTGTTTGCTGTGGAGACTCAATTCTGCTGAAAGCATACCTCCTAATTATACTCGGGTATATCAGCTTTTCTTATGGTTCCTGAGATTCATAGGACATGGTTAATGCTGGTTGGTTTCCCAGCATATCCTTTCATTTACTATACCAGCTAAAATTTTAAAGGTAAAACACTCTATGATAATAAAAAATGTATCAAAATGCTCAGAGACTTTGAATAGAGTTATACTCTGGAGACAAACTTGAACTGATTCTGGATCTTGATCCAGCTTACAGGCATGGTGAATTCTAGATATATAACTTGTGTGTTGTTGTGCTTCTGTTGTCAAAATAAATAAGCTTAATATGTGTGTCTTTTGTATGTTCCAAGCATGTTGAACAGAGACAATATGAGATAAAATCATGAGCTTGTGCTCCTCAATTTTAAAATGGTACCTTCTATTTTCTGGTATATATTCTGTTTTTCTCTTTTAATTTTCATATAGCCGACTCTAACTAGCGTGAGATTAGATGATGGTTGCAAGCTTGTAGCTTTTATAATATGCAGTTGGATACTCTTGGATGGTTTTTCCTTCAAAATTCTTAAAAAGGGCAGTCCGGTGCACTAAGCCTCCGCTATGCGCGGGGTCCTGGAAAGAGCCGGGGCACAAGGGTCTATTGTATGCAGCATTACCCTGCATTTCTGCAAGAGGTTGTTTCCATAGCTCGAACCCGTGACCTCCTGGTCACATGGCAACAACTTTACCAGTTATGTCAATTTCGCTGGCCATACACTTCCAATTTCACAGTAATGCTAATGCGGAGGCTTATTACTTGGAACATTTGTTCCTTGTAATTAACTCAGTTGAAACACTTTGATGGTGGTGGTCTCTTAAATTTTTCTTGTTAATTAGAATAACAAACATTCAAAGGTAAATATTATATAGGGAAAATTTCACTTTTGATCCCTCGATTATTGGTAAATTCTAATTTTGGTCCTTGTGTACATATATTACCTTGAATTTAGTAAAATATGTGTTTTTGGTCCTTTACATAGAACATAAGTCACATTTAGATTTTTTATTAGAATTATATTACCATCATACTGCATAGTGTAACACCACAAATTAACATACCACATGGGTATTTAATCAATTTAACAGTTAATAATTCGTTAATTTGTGAAGATTCTGTATCAGAAGGATGAAAGTGCATTTTAATTAATTAAAGATTAAATGTGCTTAACCAGATACATAAGGACCAAATCATAATTTATCCATACCAGGAACGAAAAGCATAAATTTCCCTAATATATATAGATGTTCAGAAATTTCTCAACTTTCTTTGAGACAATATTTTTGTTAAGAAAAAAAACACTTACCTGGGTATTTAATTATTATAGTAGAAGTTTATGTATACTAGATTGATCACAACACATTTATTTGCTTATTTTAATCATATAAAATCCAGATTTAGGGATGCACGAATCTAGCGTACATAAGATTAAAGAAATCTCTAAATATTGTAATTTCCAAAGAGCCCTTTTCTTGTTTAAAATAATTCTCAGAATATTTAATTATTTCTAGTAGAATCATTTCATATTTTAAATATGGTTGGTATATATATCTAGATATTGTAATTTCCAAAGAGCCCTTTTCTTGTTTAAAATAATTCTCAGAATATTTAATTGTTTCTAGTAGAATCATTTCATATTTTAAATATGGTTGGTATATATATATATATATATATATGTATATATATATATATATATATATTTCAAATCATTTCATTGTTTTTGGAGATCAAAGGAGTCGTAGAAAGGTACACAGAGCAAAACTTATTATATTTACATGAATTTTTTAGATTATCTTTGTAACGCTCTAAAATGTTTTACGTCATTTCATTTCATAAAATTTTGTAAATTTAGTGAATTTAAATTCTTAAATTATTTGAATTATAAATTATGGTATGATATTCTTGTTGTTAAACCAACTTCTTAATTACTATTACTTAATACTATTTTCTATATTATTATTATTTTTATTGAAAAAAATATCGTCAAAACAATTAATAAATGCGATGAGATGGATGAAATATCTTTACCGCTCCTAATTCGGGTTTAAATCTTAATAATTCGAGAAATATCTAGTCATAGTGCTAATTTAGATCAATCGACCAGTGGGTCTCGGATACCAACTAGTTAAACAATAACAATAATAATATATCAAATTACAATTTTACAAGTAGAGTCTTGAAAAATATAATGCATATGCAAATTTTTACCCTCACCTTGTACAAGTAGAATGTTATTTTCAATAGACCCTCGCCTCAAATAGTTAAACATAAAAATACAAAAGAAAAAAATAAATGAAGGGGTAAAGTATTTCTTAAGGGTCAAATTGGAATTAGTGAAATTTCAGAGTTTTAGACTTAATGTTGACAGCTCAACGTATGGGAACGAACATCCACGACGCTCGTTCTCTGCGCGTGTGTAGCTTGTAAGTGCGTACTGCTACGCGCGATCATGTGCGAGTCTGGCTAATTAATTTAGCTTTTTGTTTAAAAGTTGTGTTGGTTAAAGGACAACCTCAAGTTAGGGCAAACGTACGATACGCGGTAAGTGAGTCACGAATAAAGCAACTCACGTACTTCCCTACAAACAATAATTCCAGTTTTTAACTAAAGTAAGTATATTAATATAATTAAAAAAGGAAAAAGAAAAATAAATAAATAAAGAATTATTACTCTCTTCGTTAATTTATGTGAACCCATTTGACACTGCATGGTGTTTAAGAAAAGAGAGAAGACTTTTAAACTTGTGGGGTAAAATGAGGCACATATACGGTCAGATCTCTCTATAACAGCATCCATATATAATAACACTTCACTATAAAAGCCAAGCTTTTTCGGAACCAATTTTCATGTTATATTATAATATATGTTCTATATAACAACACTTCGCTATAAAAGGGCACTAAGCTCCCGCTATGCGCGGGATCCGGTGAAGGGCCGGACCACAAGGCCCATTGTACAGCCTTACCCTGCATTTCTGCACTTAGCTATAACATCCAAAAATATTCGAAACAAACGAGGTTGTTATAGAGAGGTTTGACTGTATTTTGCGTGGTTATAAATCATTGCATAAAGGTAAATTGTTTCCAAATAGGGAAAGAGGTTAATCTTTTTGGCACGAACTAAAAAAGAAATAAGTTCACATAAATTGAAACGGGAGGGTATAATTTAATGACTATCAAGGGTTTTGGTGGAATAGATAAGATATCTCTTTATTTTTAACCAGATGTATCGAATTCAAGTTTGAGAATAAAAAAATCTTAGTAAGAAGCACTTACGACGTATTCGAATTCCTTAGGTTCTCAATATAGATATCCAACATCGAGTGAAAAGAAAAAGTATCATTTAATGGGTTATAATATGTCAGTTATTTTATCTCATACTCCGCATAAGAAACTAAAATAGATTCATGTTATCCAATGGCAGACGCATGTGGTGGCAAGCGGGTTCAGATGAACCCGTTTCATCAAAAAAAATATTGTATATATGTATAAATTACGATTAAAGCTGCGTAAACTTTTTATAAATATTTTATTTGAACCCACTTGACAACTACTATATTACGATTAAAGTTACGTACTTCTAAGATTGAACTCCCTTGCACAAAATTTTGAGTCCGCCATTGATGTTATCGAGGGAAAAATGCTATACTTCTTTGTTGGAAAGCTGTATGTGGTTAAGTGGAACAATGTAAATAATTTATATGGTCGACCTTACTATATATGACTACTTATAATTATAATTAGGCTTTAAATATAACCTAATAGTATAAGACTTTGGAAGAACTAAATATATGTATTATCCAGAGCTAATTAGTAGTGTGTTTTCATGATATTATTATGCGATATTCAGGTTTGTAATACTAACGATCTTTTTCAGTTTTCCACTCGATATTCGGGATACACATTGGACCCTAATTAATTCGGGTAAGACCCATTAAAAGATGAAGCGAGTCCTATTAGAAATTTTTTCATTCACAGAGTTCGAAAGCGATATTTCTTATTTTTATTTATTAGGGATATGTTGGCACGAAAACCTGATACTAATAAGTTCTTCTTTCTTATTTTCTATCGTTTTAAAAATAAATCTGATGATCGTTGAACATTTAATATTTGTTTGATTCTGAAAGACCTGATGATGTTCAAATTAAATAGCTAAACAAGAAAGAATATATCTAAATTATTTTCCATATTTGTTTTGAAAAAATTAGGAATTATCTTCCATATAGGGGTATATATAGGATTACAATGAAATCACCTTTGTTGGAAAATTATAGTATTATATTAATAAGGTAAAATGATAATTCCTTTTTTGCTTATATATAAGTTACTGAATTCCCTTGGCAGAACAAATTTCTTTTTGAATTCTCGTACTTGAATTCCTGGCTTCAATGGTATTAAATTCATATGATCGCAAGAATATATTGTTGGGTTTTGTGAATGGGTGTGAATGAAAAATAGAAGAGACTTTTTTCGAATCGCACCGCTCAATCTCATTTTTCATTGTCTATAAATTTAGAGGTTTGTCCTTATTTTTCAAATATTGAAAATTCTAAAATTTCTCCCACTTTCTTTGCATTTTTCCCAAAACAAAATATAAGTGTCAAGTGTGATTTGTTTTACCGTATTGCACCGGCTGGAATACTAGGGTTTGAAGTACCGCTACACCAGTATGAGTAATCCGTTCTATCCTGGAGGAAATAATCCTAAACATTGGGTGCTAAGAGAGGATTAAATTCCTTAAAGACATACTGTGAATTTAATGGTGGCGAATTTAATTTTGTTCTTCCTATATGTATCTCTATTTCTATTTTACTTTGCCGAATTTTCTATTTTGAACACAGATTATTAACATATATTGCAAGACTACTGACTTCGATTTTGATGGATCAATCTTCACTTTTGTGCATGTCTGAAACAATTTGAGTGAGCTTTTAATTAGGATGATTGATTTTTTTCACTTTCATATAAATTATGGAAAAGAGATCCAAACTGTTGTTCATGCAATAGGCGGATCTACCATACAATTAATTAACGAATTCGGCAAAACCTAATAGATTTGGCACATAGTTTGTATTTGTGTTTAGATATTCACTCAACATATATAAATAATATATTCTGAATTTAGTAAATCGTCTTATTCTAAAATTCAAAACTCATACACTTAAAATTTCGATTTGCACGTCTCTAGGTCGTTTAGAACAAATAATTGCATTTTTTTTGTTAGAAACTTAAATATGACACTTTCCTTACCTACCTCGACTAA